GACGAGGCAGCGAGGCAGCGAGTGGACCTACAGAGAGGGCGACGGCCAAGGCAGGGAGGTGAGGGAGAGAGGTGAGGCGAGCGAGGGGGGAGAGGAGAAAGGGGGGGCGAGCGCCCCCTCCGCTCGAGGGCGACCCCCTTTTGTATCCGGGCGAGCCCAGCAAGCCCAGCCCAGGCCAGCCAGCCGGGCACGCCGCAGCACGGCGGGGGTGCCAGGTCGGTCGAGAAAGGCTAGGGTCGCACGGCGGGGGCAGGCACACGAGCAGAGGGCACGGACCGGACCGACGCCACCGCACGCTGCCCGCCCGCCTGACCGCCTGGCTCGACTTGCCTGCCTGCCTGCCTGCCTGCCTGCCTGCCTGCCTGCCTGGTCGGTCGGTCGGTCTGGCCTGGCCTGGCCTGCTGAACCGCCTCGCACGGCACGACACGGCATGGCACCGCCTCGCACCGCCTCGTCGTGGCTGGCCAGCTTGCTTGCTCGGCATGGCCTGGATGCACCGCCCGACCGGTCGAGCGCCCGCCCGCCTGCCTGCACCGCTCTCGGTCGTTGGGTCGCTCGAGCTCGCTCGCTGGCTGGCTGGCTGGCTGACTGATGTCGTGGCTTGTCGGTCCAGGTCCAGGTCCAGCTGGCCAGCTGACCAGCCTCGCTGGCCAAGGCAGGCGGTCATGCGATCGATCGATCCCGGCGAGCGAGGGTCTGCTGCTGGCCAACTGAGCTTTGCCTGCCTGCTGCTTGCTGGACGCTCGTCGAGACTCCGGCTGCCTGCGCGCGCTCGCTCTCTCCCTCTCTCAGCCTGCCGGCCCGACTTGCTGCGGCCCAGCCTGCTTGCCTGCCTGCCTAGCCAGGCGGCAAATTTCGCGGCGCCCAACGCGGCCGGGCCGGAGATCGAGCGGGTCATCTCGCCGGTCGCCTGGCCTGCCTCTGCTCGTCCCCTCGCTCGCCCGGCCGGCTGTGGCAGCTCAGACGCCAGGCGGCCGGCAGCGGGGCTGGCAACTGGGCTTGACTGGCTCGCTCGCTCGCTCGGCCTCGACGAGCCTCGATCCGGGTGCAGCCCAGGCCAGGGCCGTCTGGCAGGCCTAGCCTGTTCTGGCGCGACGAGACGAGGCGGCGGTCGGGCGGGGCGGGCTCGACCCAGTTCTGACTGTGCTGATCGCGGCCAGGCTGCGAGGCCGGCAGCCACGTCATCCCGTCGTCGCAGCACAGCACAGCCTAGCACAGCACAGC